AAATTCATGTTAGAAAAGGCACGTCCCAAGGGATGTTTCTTGTACGCCGGAGAAATAAAATTAATGTTGATATCGCCAGTAATGATGGTTTCTAAATTTAATAGATAAACTAATTCTAACATATTCTCGATGGCCTCATCCTCTGATAAATTAGTTGAAGGAGGTCTGTAAATGCCGGCGAATAAAATGGGACGGTTAGATTTGAATGGAAAGACTTCCAACCACAATGCTTCTATATTATTATTATGCTCAATGTCGACTCTCCTTCGATGTTTCAGATCGTCATTCACATAAATTAGAACCCCACCACCATTTTTCAGGCCCATCCGATCCTTTCGGTGCACTGTGAAACCAGGGACTGAGTATAGACAATCTGGGAGGAGCGGTTTCAAAAACGTCTCATTGATTGATAAAATATCCAAACGTGGTCGACCATCTTCATTAAGAAGGAACAATTTTATTTGTTCTAGTTTTGTAGTCGTAAGCCTGTTGACATTCCAAGAACCAAAGCGTATGCCTTTATGACCAAGATGTAGGTTAAAGTAGTCAAAGCCATCAGGCGATAAATCATTTTGCGAAGAATCATCTGAGTCATTATGAAACTCAACAGTATCGTCCATGCTAGCTGACTCTTCATCGCTTGTAAGCGAAACAAAGCTTGAGTTTTCACCAATACCTTGGCTCCCAGGACGTACAGTTTGTGGCCCTGGATTAGTAGAGACGTCTCCAGCTAACATAAGTAGAAATAGAGTAGACAATCCAACTTCCAAAACGAAAAGAGAAGCTTTGGCCTTTAAACATGGCGGCAGTACAGCACCATTCGCCTTTCGAGGACCGTTATTGCGACTTGGAAAAACTCTACTGTCCAATTTTAGTGACAGAAAGAGAGATTCACCACTTGGAATTTGATTTTGCCATATACTTATAGGACTAAGGCTATAACATAGTAATAAAATTAAAATAAAACGGGAGCTCAAGAAGAGCAGTGAACGCGGCTAAAACACTAAAAAATCCATATTGCCGATAGGCAGTGAGGTTCAAACTTTCTTAGAAGGGGAAGAAAACCAATATACTAAAAGAAAAACCGAAAGTTACGTTTTCAGTGGCTTTAGTGTTAGCATTTCTCTCGGCTGAGAATGAAAATCGACAACTGGAAGATTTGTCACTGGCCCATTTCGGCCGTTTACCTGAAAGACTTCTTCTGTTGGTAAGGACAAAGTCAATAAATGAGAATTTTGTAAATTGAAAATTACGACCATCGTTGTTTTTGTAATCATGGTTTAATGCATTTTTCCATCTTAAGAGTTCGCGCCAACGTACTCTACGATTGTTATTCGGAGATTGTCGTTTCATTTATTTTCATTCATTAATGAAGTCGGCTTTTCTTCTCAGTAGAGGGCTATTGTGTTTATATGATAAACAAAATAATACATGGTTGCTTGTAGATATGGAATTTCGCTTCTCGTGTTCAACTCGACATCTCACTCGTGAGCTATCGAGTTAAACACTCGAAGAGAAATTCCATATCTACGCGCGCCCATGTATCATTCTCTATTTTTTGTTCATTTTAGTGAAATGGAGTTTTGTGTTTTTGTATTGAGAGAAATCTTAGCAGTTCCGAAATTTGTGGTTGCTCGATGACATCTCAATGTGTCTCAAAATTATGATGTTATTCGCCCTTGCTAAGCGATTTTTCCCGAGTTATCACCCAACAGTTCTGTCCAAATACTAGACGGCGAATAAATGGTGGGTTAGAAATTTCTGATACAAAGAAAACAATTCCGGAGAATTGGTGATGCAGTAACTCGGTGAAACGATGAACCGGCAAAAAATTCCGGCGAACTGCGTGACACATCATATATATTGTATTGCAAAGAAGTTAAGTGTACGGTAACAAAAACAATAATTGTTTTACCATTACATTCAATCAAAATTTCAGTCATGCGATGTCAAGTATAAATAACATGAAGATTTTAGATATATGAAAATTCATATATTTGCACTGCGGTGGAGAGATGAAATTAAGAGATCCTCGCAGCTAAGAACACTACTGAAACGAGTAGTTGTAAATAGGACCTGAAAAAAATTCAGGCCCGTACGGGATTTGAACCCATGAGCGCTGTAGAGCGCTGCACCGGTATCGCAGAGGATCATCAAGATAACACGCGTGATCAGCATGTGAACACCTCATTAGATCACAGTTGTCATGCTGTTGAGGGATAACACGCGTGATCAGCATGTGAACACCTCATTGGATCACGTTAGTTGTCATGCTGTTGAAGGCCCAATGACCTCTGGGTACTATTGCGCAATTTTTCCATTTTGTGGCGGAGGAAAAAAAAAAAAAAAAAAAAACTAGACCCTGTGAGCAGGGTAACTGGGATACCTGGATGGTACTGGATCCTTGTTACTTTTTTGTAGGGTGGGTGGATTACTTGAAACATTGTGAGTGATGTCTACATTCTTACAAAAGGAGAGAAGAATATTAATGTGGGAAAGAACGAAAATGTCGAATTACCTCACTCACAGGTATTTTGTGGGAGATTATGTGTGTTTTGCGAATAAATGTAACCAAAAATAAACTGTATTGGTGCCACGGATACCTGTTAGTACAAAATGCAGACAGCAGACTGCAGACCGGAGACAAAATATAGACTGCAGACTGCAGAGTGGGTACAAAATGCAGACTAAGAATCTGAAGAGCTTTTACGTCTGGTATATAATAACATGTCATCTTACAGCTTACCAAGCGTCACGCAATCGCTTTTCTGCAATCCGCCTTCACGATTATTTGCACTATTGTGGAATATTCCTGGCCCATTTCTTGATGAAAATCGATCGCAATATCATTTCAGGCCTTCAGTATAGTCTTCTTACTTTGCGCGCGAGTTGGTTGGTGTGATGTCTGTACAGATTTTATCAACGTAATAAAAGTAGATGATGTGAACAACAGTGATGGTAAAGCAGGCTTAAAACGGCAGAAATCGCCAGAAAATACAACGGATACACAGGGTATGAGTAAGTTTTATTGATCTTACGAGAAAAATGTTCATATTTCGAAATATGTATCGTTGTAAATCGACCATACTTCGTTCCCTGTACTATTCCTTATAACGTGCAGTTCCTCTCGTAACTTAACACCAAGTCACACAACGCGTGACGCGTTCATGAATTAATCGTTGGCTTTTTCTCGAGGCGTGAGCTTGGGCCGCTTGTGACAAGACAATTGCGTAAACAATATTTAACATAACAACATTATACACAAAAAAACACAGGGTTGTGGATCACGTATTTATTAAAAAAGAATATCCATACAACTACAATGAAAACAAACATAAGATTCACCTTTCTGATCGTGAAATTAATACCATTCGTACTGTTATCGTAGCTACGTTCCTTGCCATCAAATGAATCCAACATGTCGTCTTTCTTCACAAGCAGTTTGCATCCATTATAGTTATGTTCTTCAGTCTCACGGTAGTAGCGTTGTTCAATAGATTGCATAGAGTATATGCAGTTTGGTTTCAGATTTCAGATTTTGCTTTTTACAACAAGCGAACGTTTTTCAACTAAGACATTGGCATACTTAGCATACAAGGCATTCAAGGCTTTCATGGCCTTGAAGCGTTCGCGACTCAATCCGTTCCAAAATTACCGCTCAATAACATCTTTCAGGGCGGATTAGCCGCGATTAATACGACTTGTATATGCGTCTGTAAGTATTTTGCGCGTTTGCGCTATAATGCTCCAGGAGATCGCAATCCAAATACGTTGAAATGCAAAACAACTGACCAAAGAGTTTCATGAGCAAAATCTCGTGTTCGTCATGTGACCCGGCCCTGTCTGTGCATGACAACGTCAATCATCATCAAGATAACACGCGTGATCAGCATGTGAACACCTCATTGGATCACAGTTAGTTGTCATGGTGTCGAGGGATAACACGCGTGATCAGTATGTGAACACCTCATTGGATCACAGTTAGTTGTCATGGTGTTGAGGGCCCAATGACCTCTGGGTACTATTGCGCAATTTTTCCATTTTGTGGCGGAGGAAAAAAAAAAAAAAAAAAGACGACAAAAAAACAAAGGCATTTTATGACTGGGCTACCACAGGTATCCCAGTAAAAAAAAAAAAAGACGACAAAAAAACAAAGGCATTTTATGACTGGGCTACCACAGGTATTTTGCTCCTGCCAAAATATGTCTAGAATTATTTTTCTTCACACGGTCTGGAACTCGAGAAGAAATACGTTTTCTTGTTCAGACACATTGAATATCGCCTTTTGAAGGTCAGCGGTGAACGTCACAACTACTCTTTCCTCGAACGTGAAGCCACCTTCAATATTCTTCAGCCGTTTAAAGATGTCGAGAAAGTGGAAAGTGATTGGAAGCTTTGTGTGATTTGCAGTTTTTCTGTTTGGTTTGGCCCCTTTCACCTATTCGGGTCCATTACAGGACGATAAATATAACGATCATACGTTACCTCAAATAAGTTTATCGTTCTCAAACAGTCCGGACGTGGTTTGTCCTTTAACAGACGTTCAGACGACATATCCGCGCTACAATCTTAAAGCCCCTTCACTGTTATCTTTTTTGAGGGCATCAACAGCAGAGGGAAACCAAGATCTCACTTTCAGTGGCTTGGTAGTAGTTTCAAAAATGGCCAATGTTTGTCACCCGTTAGTTGATGTAGGGCAGGCAAGAGTTCAAGTCAACAAAATTGCGCTCATCACGATGAAGAAGGAATGTTCGTTGTGCGAGCTGGCAGCTAAAGCGCAGCACGCTGGATACTCCATGGTGATATTTCATTTCTCACCATGGCTGACCGAGAGAAATTGTAGCGTAAAAACTGCGGCTAAGCTGTTGATCCCTGTTGTTTATGGCGACAATTGTCAAAATAGTTCGTATACCGTATACGACTTGGATACTTTATTTTCAACCGTAGACCAAACAGATATCCATGTAAGAGTTTTATTTATGTCATATGATCTGAAAAAGATGGCAATGTATTTGAGGAATCTACATTTTTGGTTTCTTTTGGGTCCAATTATCACTATGGTATGGCTCCGACGAAAGAAGATACTCTGTCGCGTGACAACAGCGCGACAAATCGACGAGGAGTCTGGTGACGAGGAAATAGTTGAGGTGGGTCGTGGACACTCTATCCAACGAGATCTTATCTTTACGTATCACGCTCAGACTAGTTCAATCCCAGTGCGTGTGGCGAGGATATTTGGAAGAAGTATTCGCTGCCTCGCAATTGGTTTTGGTTATGTGATTCTCACTCTAGCAGCGCTCCCTGTAGGTATCTCAAGTGGAGGATTGTCTTTTTTCCGATTTGATGAACAAGAAAGATTTCGGCAAAAAACTTTCTGGGATGTTCTTCTACCAGAAAATACGACTACCGTAAAAGAAGATAATTGTAACATTACCGAGACAACCGCGCCAGGCGCTTCGATAGCAGCAGTTGTCACTTCGTGGTGGTCAGTTGTACGAGTATTTTGTTTTTTTATGTACAGTGCGTTTGCCTGTAAGAGAACCTGGACCGTTTCGACGAACCCTTCAAAGTTGATTCGGAGCGATTGGTTTTCATCCAACATGTATTTACTCGTTTTGTGCTTCGTTGTACCATACTGTTCTCTCAACCAGACTCCATTATTTGAAATTTTTTATATTGACAAGTTTTTATATTTTATGCTTTACAATGTAACTTGCACAGTTTGTAATTTTCTTTTTATAATCATCCTCAACAAACACAAAGTTGTCACAAGGTATGTGTTCTACATCAGTGTGTGTATGATCTGTGCTTATGCTGAAAGTGACATAGTAGCTGTGTTTTACTTCATTCTCAATTCGCAAGGCTCCCTGAATAACTTAAAACTCACTGCCCTTCGCACTGTAGCACTGGGCCTCACTTTGAATCTAAGTTTTAGTTCTTCAATGCACATAATCCGCAAACTTATGAAGCCACAGGAGTCTGTGTTTGAGGGACTGTCAGAGAGGTGAGTTCAATGTTTTTGGATTGGGTAAGCAGCATCTCTTGCCATCTTCCTTCGATATCAGTTTTTACACAATCTGCGAGACAAATATTAATGGGAGCTAAACGAAAAATTTCATAATAATCTGGAATTTGATTGGGTTTTCCATAAAATAGGACTTGGCCGTGTTTTAGAGTGGTGTTATGCCGCTTGTCTACAGCCTTGTGAAATAAAGAACTTTGACATTAGGGGGTTTAACAAAAACACAGCGGCTATAGAGCGGGAACGTCACTAAACAAAAGGTTTCATGAGTAGAACAGTCGTGCACGTGCGTTATAAATCTTAGTAAATTTCTTCGCGTCCTTTGCAAAACAACAATGTGAAGTGACCAAACTTTGCCTTGAATTGTTAGCTTTTGACTATGAATCTTAATAATCTAGCAATGTGTCGTTTATTCTAAGTAATGATTAAATTACAATTTGTGGAAAATCATTAAGAGCTTACTAATTAGGCTATTTAAGTCAAACAATCTATCTTTGTTTATTCTGGTGTAACCAAAAGAAGTGTCGTTTAGTTTTCCTGAAATAAAAGACAAATGCCTCAGAAAATCTTTAAAGCTGGTTTGGAACCTTGTTCTTCATCAATAATCGAACATTTTGACTCAGTAATTTTTTTCCTAGCTATTAACAAGTTGATTAACTTGAAAACATTATAGGAATATTGTGTGTTGGAATCGTTAGAAATGGTGCTTGGGACGAAACTGTGTCTTATAATAATTTTATTTTTCTTTATTTACATCATGATATATGTGTATGTTTTATATGATATCAATGCTCACCATCTAAATAACTGGTATAGGTAATTTTGGTAAGAAATACATAGGATATGTAAACTTAGTATCATATGGTAGCTCTGTTTGGATTTTTCATCATTTCACCGAACTGTGAATTTGAAATCCGTGAAATCACACATTTACAAAGTTCGGCTTTCAGTCAAAAAATGTATCTTTGTTTATTTTGACGTAATTAAAAGTTGTGTGCTCCACTGTCTGTTCTGATACAATTTATTGCACTCCCACCCTTACTGAGTTTTGTTTATGTCTTCAGCTGACGTGAAACATTAAGTGCCAAAACATCTACCATTTCAAGTTTCCAGTCTTTGATATAATGGCTCTTGATTAGTTTCCATGAACTATTTTCTGCTGATATAATACCCCAAGAGTAGGCATAATTGCGGCTTTGAGGACATGTGACTAACAACCGAATAAAACCTTGTTATTAAAACTGACGTGCGAGTTTAAAAAGTTGAAAACATGTTTCACGTGAGAGAAGGTGGAAAAAGGAATTCGAAAGAGAGAATTCGGGAGAACTACTTCAAAATGCTCTCTGATAACAAACATCTCTTGAACACAATGTTGATATTTTCCAGTTGAGCAGGACATGTCGGATAATCCAAATTTCAAGAGGCTGCTTTTATAATATACCGAACACAGAATCGTAGCCTTTAAATACTCAAGAGCCTTTGAATACTCAAAAGATACTTTACAGTTTTAATTTCAGCTTCAATACTAAGATTCTACCTAGAGTCAGATAATTGAAATAAAGTGTCACGCATTCTGTTAGCACAGAAAAGCAAGGAGCGGCTTTGTACACATGTCGAGAAATAGTTTTGTGACAGTTGGCTGCTTCTGCTCTCCATGTTAACCACCTCTCAATATAGTTCGGTTGGATAACCAGCTATTTATAGCTTTAATAAAGGAAGTATGTTTCTAGAGAAACTGTAGTGCTGGCGGTGGAAAGGTATAACAGGGTAATTTAGTATTATCTAATTTAGTATTATGAAGAGCTAACGCTCGAAACGTCCGCTTTTAAACTCTTTACAGTGGCCGATTTACGTTATCAGCTCAGTTGATTTTACTAAATTACCCTGATTTCCATTTGTATTTACCTCGAGATGGTCCTCGAGACAGCATATGTCTGTTGCAAAGATGACTCGGGGGAACAAAGTGCTTATTCCATTCGTATTCGTATTGCGTAGGAGCTAGTGTTTCTTCGATGGTCAGATCGAAAAAGGCTTGCCTTTGTCGATGATTTATATATCTTGAGAAGGCAGACCAAACTTAGCTTTCCGAAAGATTGAATGAACTGAGCAAAATGGGTTTGTACCTCAAGAGCCTGGACTTTACTATTTCTCTGACAAAACTCTCGTCATTTTGAACGATGATATATTTTCAATGATAGGTACGGCTCTGGGAGCTTCGAAACCGATAAGATTCCACGGTCCGATTATGGATACAATTATTTGAAAGGTAGGATTGAATTTAACTTTCGAATCATGTATGAAGCATTTCTATCTGACGGTAAGAGGTCATTTATTTAAGAACTTAAAACACCGCAAGAATGTATAATTGATACTATCTTAAAGTTTCTTGTGTCTCGTCCTAAAGAATAGGGGATTTAAATATTTTGACTAGCCGCAGAGTACGGAACTTTAATTCTGAACGATTCTTGGCGACTACTTGAATAAAGATCTGTATAACTGACGTCACGCAGTCACGAACACCTTAGGTTGTCTGTGTAACGAAGGCTATTTTCAGTTGTGATTTGCGTGACGTTAAATACCCTTTTGTTATGTTTTGTGTGACATACCTTCGAATTGTCGGCATTATGTTTCATTCGGCCACGAGACGCGGGTTAGTTGCAAGCATAACCAGATCGAAAGATTGTCGAAATACAAGAATAATTTAACAGGGAAAGAGGTATGTCATCTTATTTATTCTTGTATTTATAAACCGAAACGCGTCTAATCAAAGGTAGTTTTGTTTCGCTTTAGATATTTGTGTTGTTTTGATTTATCTATATGCACGCCCCGCGTGTTCGAGTTCAGGACATTTTGATTAGCGTTTCTTGTATGGTAATGGCCTATTTTAATCTATTGTATTTCAGATGCATATTTTAAATGCTGACGTTCTCAGTTCGATCCTCTTTTCCTGATGCAAAACAAAACTAGCTAACATTATTAATACGGAAAAACTGTTCGTATGCTTACAATTCGCTTACATTAGCAGATTTTTTTTTTAAACAGGCAAAATACAGATTGACCAACTTCCCGAGGAAATGTACCCTATGGCGCTGGCAAAAAACTCCTTGGATGATGCTGTTGATCTTGCGAGGACAACAAGAGCCATGAATATCAGCACAACATTAAAACATTGGTAAGAGACTGGTGATTGTTACCGCCGGATGGGAAGGGGGTTTAATTTACCAGATCCCCCCTTAAGGCTTTTTTGATATTCCTCACTGGCCGTTGAATGGCAGTTTATTTTCTTTATTCCCCTTAATACTGTGTTTGCGACCACTGATTCCCTTTCCGTTCCCTTTGCAAACATTGTGATTCCCCCCAGTTATACTCCTCTCCTCCCCTAGGCGATAGAGGGGTGGGGGGGGGGGGAGTGGGGGTTACTGGTCCCTTAGGAGTACACTTACTATTCCCAAAAACCTGGGAATGTCAGCCAGGATAACAAGCGCTCTATTACAGTACTGCAGAGTAGGAAAAAAATCCTGGTCATGGAAGCTTACTTGTGGGAGCCTCATGTGTTGTTAGTTGTTTCTTTATTGGCACCATTTAAGGTCGAAGACTAAAGTTACAATGCTATGTATCTGACACAGACAAGCCAGGTGCACCCTTTGAAATCCATTCAATCTCTCTCAACTATTATGCTGAATTCTGAAAAATAAAGATTCATTCCTGATCTTCTATACCATCCATAATACAACTCATAGGTAACAATCAGAATCCTCTCTTTCCCCTGTTTCTGCACAAGTTATGAGAATACATAGTACTGCGATAACTTGTTTTGGTAGCGTAAATCATCTTCCTTTCACAAAGTAGTTGTTAATAAAAGGAAACACTCTAGGCTAATAACTTTAACACCCCTTAGTTACAGAGAAATACTTCTAGTTTCACATTCAGATAATTAAGACTTGATATTCCAACTTAACCTTGAACAGTGAAGAGGAAGTGATATTTTGATATTGGGATTGAAAGGGTTAATGCAATCCAAGTGTTCACATAATATAACCTCATATCTTACCTTCTTTGTATGCAAATCTTAAAACTGTCTATATTAATCCATGAAACTTATTTACATTGACTTAAAACTATAAAAAGTACTACACTGTATTTATATTTGGTTTTACTTTTAAACTAAGGTGCTTTGCGTAGCTAAGAGTAAACTTAACCCTTTAACTCCAAAGATCTGATTGTTAATTCTCCCCTCTAGCTGCTACACATTTCCTTGTAAACTGATTACCAGAATTTGGTTGTTGATCAAGATAACAACTTAATGTATTGATCTTATGGGGAGAAGTTACATGTGAAGCACTTCTGAGAGTTAAATGGTTAATGTAGAAATATCACAATGTGAGGGAATTTAATTTATAAGTGTTTTAAAAGGAACATATGATATCCCTCTCCAGGATTTTAATACAAATAATATTAGAGAATAAATAAGGGAAAACTGAAATTATGGAAATATACAGAGAAGTTGTTAAATTAGACAGAACACTATTTGATTATTGCACATAATTGTGTAAGCTTTTAAATACTGTGTCGTCATCACAGTAAGGTCAAAGACTAAATTGACTGTGGGTCCTTTGCCTTCTACAAGATTATATGATCAATTGATTTTTGTCCGCGATTTTTATGCTAGTTATACTTTCATTATTGCACTGAAATACAGAAAGAGCTTGTAAACATACTAGAGTAGTATAATTAGATCATTTCACAGAACTGTATAAATGAGAACCTTAAAAAAATTACACATGTATAAACTTATTGTATTTATCATTGGGTTTACCAGAAACTGGTATTAACAAGAAGGGACGCAACGTTAAAGAAATTTATCTACGTAACTCTATGCGTTTCCCTAATTTGTTTGTAAAATTATGAACTTCCATCGCAAATAATTTTCTATCCTCATCTTTCTCAGAGGTAGAATATCATCGTGAATCACATTTACTTGATTTGGGTTTCGTAATTTTTCTATAGTACTATAGTAACTGACTCAGTAACTAGAACAAAAGAACGGATTGCTGTTACAGGCTAGCTTTATCAGTCAGCAATGATTCTTAGTTCTCCGATTTCGCGCAAGCCATAAGTGTCTGGTTATATAATTATGGTTAAAATAAGTAATAATCAGGCCATAGTCACCATTTCAGTAGCTTCCTTTCCAATTTGCCGCCCAGCACGAGTCAACACTAGTTTCAGAGACTTTCTGTAGTATGGCAGTCTCCAAGCGTAAACGAATGCGTCAGCAGCTACCTTAATAAATAACATTTCGTCTGCAATTGTCATGGCAGCGTGGAGGTGAAGCTTGTCTTGTGGTGTCTCCAGTTCTGCGTAAAACCAGATATTAAGTATAATGATATGAGCAAGAGTGCAAGCAATTAGTATTGCTGATAGAAACAAAGTTGCCACCACAAGTTGTCTCAAGCCTTTATCGTCTTCATTTTGGCGAGATTCTTTAGCAAATCGGCGAAGTGACCTCAGAAGTATAGCAGAACCAACGAAAAGCAGGATTGTTATGACTGTGGCATGGAAATGGAGATTTATCTGAAGGAGGCTTCTTCGGGAGACTCCGATGAATTGCAGAAGAGTGAAACCTGTGAAGTACAGCGTCGAGATACCAACAAATACAAGGATCCTGCGCGTTGTAATGGCCGAGCGGTAACGTTCTGGGTGAGTTATGGCAAGGAACTGTTTCCAAATGAGAGCGAGAACGAGCAAGAATGACAAGTTGAGGTTTACGGTGGAAATAGAACTTCCAGTTCTTCGCAGGCTTTCGTATGATCGGCCTGGATTCAGTGACCATTTCAAATAACTTGCCAGGCGGTAAGCAACGAAGAGAGGCTCGATAACAAGACCGGTTGTGAAATCAACACAGCCTAAAGCGATGATGAGATACGAAGCAGGTGTACGGAAACATTTGAGAGGATCTTTGTAAATAGTCAGTAATAACAGGAGGTTACTAATGACTGTTATCGGCGACAGAATCACCATGGAGATCCCTGTGGCGAGCTGGGTGAACAGATAAAACCTTACATCGATCGAAGGAGAATTTGATGTTGTGCTGATATTCATGGCTCTTGATGTCTTCACAGGATCAACACTGAGCGTCGTCTAAGGAAATCTTTTAAGCTAACGCCTACATAAGCTGCATTTCTTTGGGATGTTGGTCGATCTGTCGAGTTTTAAAACAATTGTGCTTCTTTTAACTCGCAAATTGTAAGCTTACGTAAAGTACTTCTGTGCCTGTAATGTGAGCTATGTTTGAATTGCATCGGGAAAAGCAGATGGACCGGAAGACGGCAGCACTTAAAATATGCATCGAAAAAGCGATATGAACCGCAGACAGACAACATTAAGTGTTCGTGACTGCGTGACGTCAAGTATTTGAATCTTTCCATACTCTGAGGGCAGAGTATATTTTACTCTTACACACAAAGATAATTACACATTCTTGAGGTGTTTTAATTTAATCTAATGAATACGATTGCAGTGAATAAATTGCAATGGATCAGAAGATGGCAGCATTTAAAATATGCATCGGAAAAGCGAAATGAACCACAGACACACAACATTAAGTGTTGGTGACTGCGTGACGTCAGTTATATAGATCTTTATTCGATCGTTCTTGAATAAGATTCCGTATTTTTAGGGCAGCCAGACTATTTTGATTTTATTTTACTCTTACACACAAAGTCAAATAATTCTAAGCAGCGGCTCTTACATCCGTCAAATTACCTTGAGAATTCAGTGCAAAGTAATATACTGCCACTATGGACCATTTTTAAATGACTTAGCAGTATCTCTGTAAGGAGGAATCAAAGATGGTTGCTCTCGAGGTTTGGAGAGTTAACAACCTGAGAGACACGGTTTTCATCGAAACAATTCCTTTTTAATGTGTTTAGTCTTGATTTCCTTGCCTTATTTTTTACTGCTTAGAGTTTGGTGATGTTGTCTGCACTGTGAGATTCATTCAAAACTTCAAGTATCAAATTCAGGGAGGGGAAATAGTACAAGGGAAGGAAACAACCAATTGCTGTATTTCAATTGGTAGTTTTAGGTAAAAAAGCATTTTAAGGGTGAAAAAAATTTTTAATCAAAAGATGTTTTGACTTTTATTGTGACAGGTTTTGTCTGTTGTCTGCACAATAATTCGTTCATTCTATTGACTGCAGTTTATGTAATTGCCAATACTCATGTTTAATCCTTTGACACTTAAGAGTGACTAGCATCTAATTTCTCCTTACAGTATCAACTTCAATAAATAAAGATGATGAAAATGAAGGAAATGATCACCAATTCAAGAAGCCTCTGATTGCCACACAAATTCTCCTTGTCATCACCATAGGAAATATACAGAGAAAAGTGTGGAGAAAATGAATACCAATTTAAAGATGTAAAAGGTTTTTAATTTGGATCAGCTTTGAAAAGTTTGCATGACCCCTCTAGGTAGCCTCTCAGGCGAACCGACTTTACGTAAGGAAACAAAATACTTGAAGAGGCGACCACCACAGACAAATTTAGAAATGCATTTTCCTTTCGGTTCAGGTCTGAATCTCTTCACTTTTATCAAATCAAAAGTAGGACAATCCTCCGCTGAATATTTCTACCGGATCGCTGTTACAACGAGGATCACACAACTATTGTAGAGAGCCACTTCTGCGACGCTGAGGTTCACCAATAAACTCGCTAATCGACTTGCGTTAGCCAGAAAACTATTGCTTACAGTTGCTCTATCACCTCTCATCAACTTTGACTTTCTGAGTCAAAAAAGCGTGATTATTGGGCCCAGATCCAAAAGTAAAGGCTATTTAAATACAACTGCGCGGTGGCATATTCCTTCTTCATAGCGATGAGCCTTTCCTTCATCAACGACTGATTGACAAGCTTTGGCCATATTTGACTGAAATACTGCCAAGGTATTGAATCAGTGAAGGTGCGTTAAGGTTGTGAGGCTTATATTTTAGTTGAGTGTCTCCCAAACCGACGACCACGACCTGGATGTCTGAGAAAGATGATTATATATATATATATTATTATTCAATGCCGGGTACGGTTCTAGGAGGTTCGAAACCGATGAGATTCCACGATCCGATCATGGATACAATTATTCCAAAGATAGGATGGAATTTAACTTTCGAATCATTATGAAGCATTTCCATCTGTTTTGTTCGTGACTAACCTGTAAACTAGCTTTATATAGCTAAGTGTCAGCCACATTAATAAAGTATGTATGTATGTATGTAAACAACCTTAATTGAGACAGTGTAGTTTATAAATATTTTAAGAGGTCATTTATTTAAGAACCTAAAACACCGCAAGAATATGTAATTGATAATATCTTAAAGTTTCTTGTCAATATCTTTGTGTCTAAGAGTAACATCTCGTCCAAAAGAATAGGGGATGCAAATATTTTGACTGGCCGCAGAGTACGGAACCTTAATTCTGAACGATTCCTGGCGATTAGCGATTACTTGAATAAAGATTTGTATAACTGACGTCACGTAGTCACGAACACCTTAGGTTATTTGCGTGACGTTCAATATCCTTTTGTTTTGTTTTGTGTGACATACATTCGAATTGTCGGCATTATGTTTCATTCGGCCGCAAGACACGGGCTAGTCGCAAGCACAAGCAGATCGAAGGATTGTCTAAATACTAGAAAAAAAAGAACAGGGAAAGAGGTATGTCATCTTATTTATTCTTGTATTTATAAACCGAAAGGCGTCTAATCAAAGGTAGTTTTGTTTCGCTTTAGATATATATGTTGTTTTGATTTATCTACATGCACACCCCGCGTTCGAGTTTAGGACATTTCGATTAGCGTTTATTGTATGGTAGTGGGCTATTTTAATTTATTGTATTTGAGTTTTCACGAGCTTTCCAGTGATTAATAAACCAGTTGAATCTGATAGACGCTTGGAGGTTTTATTTCCCCGACGCGGCGTTGTTCAAGTTTGATTTATGTCAGCGTCCGCCCCATTACAGTCTGTCTGCGGCTCATTTCGCTTTTCCGATGCATATTTTAAATGCTGACGTTCTCAGTTCGATCCTCTTTTCCTGATGCAAATCAAAACTAGCTAACATTATTAATGCGGAAAAACTGCTCCTATGCTTACAATTTGCTTACATTGGCAGATTTTTTTTTAAAACACAGATTGACCAACTTCCCGAGGAAATGCACTCTATGGCGCTGGCAAAAAACTCCTTGGATGATGCTGTTGATCTTGCGAGGACAACAAGAGCCATGAATATCAGCACAACATTAAAGCATTGGTAAAGGGACCGGTGATTATTACCGCCGGATGGGATGGGGGTTAAATTTACCAGATCCCCCCATAAGGCTTTGTTGATATTCCTCACTGGCTGTTAAATGGCAGTTTATTTTCTTTAGTCCCCTTAATACTGTGTTTGCGACCACTGATTCCCTTTCCGTTCCCTTTGCAAACATTGTGATTCCCCCCAGTTATACTCCTCTCCTCCCCCAGGCAATAGAGGGATGGGAGTGGGGGTTACTGGGTCCCTTAGGAGTACACTTACTATTCCCAAAAACCTGGGGATGTCAGCCGGGATAACAAGCACTCTATTACAGTACTGCAGAGTAGGAAAAAATCCTGGTCATGGAAGCTTACTTGTGGGAGTCTCATGTATTGTCTGTTGTTTCTTTATTGGCACCATTTAGGGTCTAAGACTAAAGTTACAATGTTATGTATCTGACACAGACAAACCAGGTGCACCCTTTGAAATCCATTTAACCTCTCTCAACTATAGAACTGAATTCTGAAAAATAAAACAGGAGATCAATTTCAATTGTTGTATTTTGTATCCTACAAAAGATTCATTCCTGATCTTCTATACCATCCATAATACAACTGATAGGTAATGATCAGAATCCTCTCTTTCCCCTGATTCTGCACAAGTTATGAGAATACATAGTACTGTGATAACTCGTTTTGATAGCCTTAATCGTCTTCCTTTCACAAAGTAGTTGTTAATAGAAGGAAACACTCTAGGCTAATAACTTTAACACCCCTTAGTTACAGAGAAACACTTCTAGTTTCACATTCAGATAATTAAGACTTGATATTCCAACTTAACCTTGAACAGTGAAGAGGTGATATTTTGATATTGGAAGTGAAAGGACTAATGCAATCCAAGTGTTCACATAATATAACTTCACCTCTTACCTTCTTTGTATGCAAATCTTAAAACTGTCTATATTAATCCATGAAAATTATTTACATTGACTTAAAACTATAAAAAGTACTACACTGTATTTATATTTGGGTTTTACTTTTAAACTAAGGTGCTTTGCGTAGGTAAGAGTAAACTTAACCCTTTAACTCCAAGGATCTGATTGTTAATTCTCCCCTCTAGCTGCTACACATTTCTTTGTAAATTGGTTATCAGAATTTGGTGTTAAATCAAGATAACAACTTAATGTATTGATATTATGGGGAGAAGTTACATGTGAAGCACTTCTGAGAGTTAAATGGTTAATGTAAAAATATCACAATGTGAGGGAATTAAATTTATAAGTATTTTAAAAGGAACATATGATATCCCTCTCCAGGATTTTAATACAAATAATATTAGAGAATAAATAGGGAATTGAATTTTTCATTTGTTAGAAATACTTGTGTAAAATACTCCTTTTTCACTTGTATTGTTTTCCTGTTTCCTAATGATGCACCTGCCATCTTTTAACCTTTTACATCTGTACATTGGTGTTCATATTGTTCACACTGTTCTCTGTATATTTCCTATGGTAATGACAAGGAGAATTTGTGTGGCAATCAGAAGCTTCTTGAATTGGTGATCAGTTTTGTTATTTTCATCATCTTTATTTGTTGAAGTTGATACTGTGAGAAGAAATTAGATGCTAGTCACTCTAAGGTGTCAAAGGATTAAACATGAATATTAGCAATTACGTAAACTGCAATAAACGAATTAATATGCAGGCAGCAGACAAAACCTGTCACAACAAAAAGTTAACAAATTACAATTAATAACATCTTTTAATTAAAATTTGTTTTACCCTTAAAATACCTTGTTACCTAAAACTAAAAATTAAAATACATTCATGAATTGGTTGTTTCCTTGCCTTGAATGGAGGATATGGATACTGATGTTAGGGTGTAAAGGACTCTGATAGACTCTAATTAATGGTTGTTAAGTTGTAATCTTGCTTATGATCTTGTGTACGTCATTTCCTCGGTACTATTATCCTCAAGAAGCATAATTTTGTCGCAGGGTATGTGTTTTACATTGTTTCAGGCAGCACTTTATAAGCCTCATTCTGACTCTGAGTTTAGATTACAGCAGTTGAAGTATTGTTTTTGTAAAGAGCATTTAAAGCACTGATTACTATAGAAGAGATAGCCACAGTAGAACAAGACTTGTTTGACAAAGAAAACTCGATAAAATAGGTGTTGAAAATTTGATCTGACTCCGTTCACATTTGATACTAAATGAAGAAACTATACTTGAAATGTTGATAAATGTTCAAGTACTTGTCTGTTGTGCCTTATTATTTTCGGTCAGCGGTATAATGATATACCTCCGCTGTGCATTCTTCTACAAGGGCAGGTTTTGAATGATTTCGCTTTTGCGTTGATAGTCAGCATGTTTGCAAAATGCTTGGTTATTGGCGGTTCTTTTTTCTTCATCCTGCTGATCCTTACCTTTGCGTATTTTTTGTTCTCTTTTCAAGATTCCGCTCTCATTTTGTGCAATTCATACTACTCTTATAGCAGAACGACTTTGTCGTTCGCAAGCATCCCGGAAGTGGTTTGCGATCTCTCTACGCCAGGGTATGCAAATGATTCCAGATATGATCATCGTCCTTCGCTGGAATCGTTTCTGCAAGAATCGAAAACTGATGCGGACCAAGATCTTCGTTTGAGTGGCTTAGCAGTGGTTTCCAGACTGGCCAATGCAAGTCAACCTCTAGTTGATGTAAGCAAGTCAAGAATACATGTCGACAAAATCGCTCTCGTCACGCTTAAGGACGATACAGCGTTTTCGTGCGGAGATCTAGCACTTAATGCACAGAACGCTGGATACTCTGTGGTCCTATTTTGGCCCTATTTTGGCGGATATTGTGAATCAGATGAAGATGTAACAAAACCTCATACGCAAGAAGAGATATTGATTCCCTTTGTGTTTGTTAAGTATTGTGACAATCAAACCACTTCAGACTCTTACAACACTGTTAATTACGATCATTTACTCAAGGCTGTACACAAAACAGCTGTAGATTTTATTATGACTGATGAACATGGGTCTGATGAGCTCGGCAACATGGCAGAATACCTAAAGATACTTTATTACTGGTTCCTTTTGGGTCCAATTATCACGCTCGAATGGCTCAGACGAAAGAAGAAACTCTGTTGTGTGACGATATCACAACAAGTCCATGAGGAATCTGCAGCTGGCAACGAGGAAAATGCGCGGTTAGTCCCAAGAGTTGACGAGGATCAGGAACAGAACGTACAAGACATCACCGGTGGGGAAATTGAAAGTGAATCTCAACTTCTAATCACTACAGCAGACACAGACACTGATATAACAATATTTGACCTCATGGGCAGAATTATAGTTCGTGTGACAAGGATATTTGGAATCCGTTACCTCGCAGTTTGTCTTGGTTACGTGCTTCTCACTCTGGCAGCGCTCCCTGTAGGTATATCAAGTGGGGGATGGTCTTTTTTCCGATTTGATGAACAAGAAAGAAATAAGCAAAAAAACTTTTGGGACTCTATTCTACCCGACAACAGCACTGAATTCTCTCCAGGAATAGCACCTCGGGTTTCATGTATTCTCATTTTATGGTGGTCAGCTGTTCAAATCTTTTGTTTTTTCATTTATAGTAAGTTTAATTGTGCGAGTACTTGGACCGTTTTGACAAACGTTTCAAAGTTGATTCGAAGTGACTGGTTTTCGTCCAACATGTATTTGTTCGTGTTATGCGCAATTGTGCCATACTGTTCTGTCGGACCTATTTCTCCGCAGTTTCTCTATTTTACGGTTTACAATATGATGTGCACAGTTTCCAATTTTCTTTTTATTATCATTCTCAACAAACACAAAGTTGTCACAAGGTATGTGTTCTACATCAGTGTGTGTATGATCTGTGCTTATGTTGAAAGTGACATAGTAGCTGTGTTTTACTTCATTCTTAATTCTCAAGGCTCCCTGAATAACTTAAAACTCACTGCCCTTCGCACTGTAGCACTGGGCCTCACTTTGACTCTGAGTTTTAGTTCTTCAATGCACATAATCCGCAAACTTATGAAGCCTCAGGAGTCTGTGTTTGAGGGACTGTCAGAGAGGTGAGTTCAATGTTTTTGGATTGGGTAAGCAGCATCTCTTGTCATCTTCCTTCGATATCAGTTTTTACACAATCTGCGTGACAAATATTAATGGGAGCTAAACGAAAAATTTCATAATAATCTGGAATTTGATTGGGTTTTCCATAAAATAGGACTTGGCCGTGTTTTAGAGTGGTGTTATGCCGCTTTTCTACAGCCTTGTGAAATAAAGAACTTTGACATTAGGGGGTTTAACAAAAACACAGCGGCTATAGAGCGGGAACGTCACTAAACAAAAGGTTTCATGAGTAGAACAGTCGTGCACGTGCGTTATAAATCTTTGTAAATTTCTTCGCGTCCTTTGCAAAACAACAATGTGAAGTGACCAAACTTTGCCTTGAATTGTTAGCTTTTGACTATAAATCTTAATAATCTAGCAATGTGTCGTTTATTCTAAGTAATGATTAAATTACAATTTGTGGAAAATCATTAAGAGCTTAATAATTAGGCTATTTAAGTCAAACAATCTATCTTTGTTTATTTTGGTGTAACCAAAAGAAGCGTCGTTTAGTTTTCCTGAAATAAAAGACAAATGCCTCAGAAAATCTTTAAAGCTGGTTTGGAACCTTGTTCTTCATCAATAATCAAACATTTTGACTCAGTAATTTTTTTCCTAGCTATTAACAAGTTGATTAAGTTGAAAACATTATAGGAATATTGTGTGTTGGAATCGTTAGAAATGGTGCTTGGGACGAAACTGTGTCTTATAATAATTTTATTTTTCTTTATTTACATCATGATATATGTGTATGTTTTATATGATATCAATGCTCACCATCTAAATAACTGGTATAGGTAATTTTGGTAGGATATACATAGGATATGTAAACTTAGTATCATATGGTAGCTCTGTTTGGATTTTTCATCATTTCACCGAACTGTGAATTTGAAATCCGTGAAATCACACATTTACAAAGTTCGGCTTTCAGTCAAAAAATGTATCTTTGTTTATTTTGACGTAATTAAAAGTTGTGTGCTCCACTGTCTGTTCTGATACAATTTATTGCACTCCCACCCTTACTGAGTTTTGTTTATGTCTTCAGCTGACGTGAAACATCAAGTGCCAAAACATCTACCATTTCAAGTTTCCAGTCTTTGATATAATGGCTCTTGATTAGTTTCCATGAACTATTTTCTGCTGATATAATACCCCAAGAGTAGGCATAATTGCGGCTTTGAGGACATGTGACTAACAACCGAATAAAACCTTGTTATTAAAACTGACGTGCGAGTTAAAAAAGTTGAAAACATATTTCACGTGAGAGAAGGTGGAAAAAGGAATTCGAAAGAGAGAATTCGGGAGAACTACTTCAAAATGCTATCTGATAACAAACATCTCTTGAACACAATGTTGATATTTTCCAGTTGAACAGTCGTGTAGATAATAATAAAACATCGGACATGTCGGATAATCCAAATTTCAAGAGGCTGCTTTTATAACATACCGAACACAGAATCGTAGCCTTTAAATACTCAAGAGCCTTTGAATACTCAAAAGATACTTTACAGTTTTAATTTCAGCTTCAATACTAAGATTCTACTTAGAGTCAGATAATTAAAATAAAGTGTCAAGCATTCTGTTAGCAGAGAAAAGCAAGGAGCGGCTTTGTACACATGTCGAGAAATAGTTTTGTGACAGTTGGCTACTTCTGCTCTCCATGTTAACCACCTCTCAATATAGTTCGGCTGGATAACCAGCGATTTCTAGCTTTAATAAAGGAAGTATGTTTCTAGAGAAACTGTAGTGCTGGCGGTGGAAAGGTATAACAGGGTAATTTAGTATTATCTAATTTAGTATTATGAAGAGCTAACGCTCGAAACGTCCGCTTTTAAACTCTTTACAGTGGCCGATTTACGTTTTAAGCTCAGTTGATTTTACTAAATTACCCTGATTTCCATTTGTATTTACCTCGAGATGGTCCTCGAGACAGCATATCTCTGTTGCAGAGATGACTCTGGGGAACGAAGTGCTTATTCCATTCGTGTTCGTATTGCTTAGGAGCTAGTGTTTCTTCGATGGTCAGATCGAAAAAGGCTTGCCTTTGTCGATGATTCATATATCTTGAGAAGGCAGACCTAACTTAGCTTTCCGAAAGATTGAATGAACTGAGCAAAATGGGTTTGTACCTCAAGAGCCTGGACTTTACTATATCTCTGACAAAACTCTCGTCATTTTGAACGATGATATATTTCCAATGATAGCTACGGCTCTGGGAGCTTCGAAACCGATAAGATTCCACGGTCCGATTATGGATACAAGTATTTGAAAGGTAGGATTGAATTTGACTTTCGAATCATGTATGAAGCATTTCTATCTGACTGTTTTGTTCGGTCAAACAACCTAAATTGAGACAGTGTAGTTTATAAATATTTACGGTAAGAGGTCATTTATTTAAGAACTTAAAACACCGCAAGAATGTATAATTGATACTATCTTAAAGTTTCTTGTGTCTAAGAGTAGCAATTCGTCCTAAAGAATAGGGGATTTAAATATTTTGACTAGCCGCAGAGTACGGAACTTTAATTCTGAACGATTCTTGGCGACTACTTGAATAAAGATCTGTATAACTGACGTCACGCAGTCACGAACACCTTAGGTTGTCTGTGTAACGAAGGCTATTTTCAGTTGTGATTTGCGTGACGTTCAATACCCTTTTGTTATGTTTTGTGTGACATACCTTCGAATTGTCGGCATTATGTTTCATTCGGCCACGAGACGCGGGTTAGTTGCAAGCATAACCAGATCGAAGGATTGTCGAAATACAAGAATAATTTAACGGGGAAAGAGGTATGTCATCTTATTTATTCTTGTATTTATAAACCGAAACGCGTCTAATCAAAGGTAGTTTTGTTTCGCTTTAGATATTTGTGTTGTTTTGATTTATCTATATGCACGCCCCGCGTGTTCGAGTTCAGGACATTTCGATTAGCGTTTATTGTATGGTAGTGGGCTATTTTAATTTATTGTATTTCAGTTTTCACGAGCTTTCCAGTGATTAATAAACCAGTTGAGACTGATAGACGCTTGGAGGTTCTGTTAATATAAGACATTTCCCCGACGCGGCGTTGTTCAAGTTTGATTTGATTTATGTTAGCGTCTGCCCCATTACAGTCTGTCTGCGGCTCATTTCGCTTTTTTTTCAGACTTCACAAAGTAGTTGTTAATAAAAGGAAACACTCTAGTCTAGTCCGATGCATATTTTAAATGCTGACGTTCTCAGTTCGATCCTCTTTTCCTGATGCAAAACAAAACTAGCTAACATTATTAATACGGAAAAACTGTTCGTATGCTTACAATTCGCTTACATTAGCAGATTTTTTTTTTAAACAGGCAAAAGACAGATTGACCAACTTCCCGAGGAAATGTACCCCATGGCGCTGGCAAAAAACTCCTTGGATGATGCTGTTGATCTTGCGAGGACAACAAGAGCCATGAATATCAGCACAACATTAACACATTGGTAAGAGACTGGTGATTGTTACCGCCGGATGGGAAGGGGGTTTAATTTACCAGATCCCCTCTTAAGGCTTTTTTGATATTCCTCACTGGCTGTTGAATGGTAGTTTATTTTCTTTAGTCCCCTTTATACTGTGTTTGCGACCACTGATTCCCTTTCCATTCCCTTTGCAAACATTGTCATTCCCCCCAGTAATACTCCTCTCCTCCCCTAGGCGATAGAGGGGTGGGGGGGGGGAGGAGTGGGGGTTACTGGTCCCTTAGGAGTAAACTTACTATTCCCAAAAACCTGGGAATGTCAGCCAGGATAACAAGCGCTCTATTACAGTACTGCAGAGTAGGAAAAAAATCCTGGTCATGGAAGCTTACTTGTGGGAGCCTCATGTGTTGTTAGTTGTTTCTTTATTGGCACCATTTAAGGTCGAAGACTAAAGTTACAATGTTATGTATCTGACACAGACAAGCCAGGTGCACCCTTTGAAATCCATTCAATCTCTCTCAACTATTGAGCTGAATTCTGAAAAATAAAGATTCATTCCTGATCTTCATATACCGTCCATAATACAACTGATGGGTAACAATCAGAATCCTCTCTTTCCCCTGTTTCTGCACAAGTTATGAGAATACATAGTACTGCAATAACTTGTTTTGATAGCCTAAATCGTCTTCCTTTCACAAAGTAGTTGTTAATAAAAGGAAACACTGTAGTCTAATAACTTTAACACCCCTTAGTTACAGAGAAACACTTCTAGTTTCACATTCAGATAATTAAGACTTGATATTCCAACTTAACCTTGAACAGTGAAGAGGTGATATCTTGATATTGGGAGTGAAAGGGTTAATGCAATCAAAGTGTTCACATAATATAACTTCACCTCTTACCTTCTTTGTATGCAAATCTTAAAACTGTCTATATTAATCCATGAAACTTATTTACATTGACTTAAAACTTTAAAAAGTACTACACTGTATTATATTTTACTTTTAAACTAAGGTGCTTTGCGTAGGTAAGAGTAAACTTAACCCTTTAACTCCAAAGATCTGATTGTTAATTCTCCCCTCTAGCTGCTACACATTTCTTTGTAAATTGGTTATCAGAATTTGGTGTTAAATCAAGATAACAACTTAATGTATTGATATTATGGGGAGAAGTTACATGTGAAGCACTTCTGAGAGTTAAATGGTTAATGTAAAAATATCACAATGTGAGGGAATTAAATTTATAAGTATTTTAAAAGGAACATATGATATCCCTCTCCAGGATTTTAATACAAATAATATTAGAGAATAAATAGGGAATTGAATTTTTCATTTGTTAGAAATACTTGTGTAAAATACTCCTTTTTCACTTGTATTGTTTTCCTGTTTCCTAATGATGCACCTGCCATCTTTTAACCTTTTACATCTGTACATTGGTGTTCATATTGTTCACACTGTTCTCTGTATATTTCCTATGGTAATGACAAGGAGAATTTGTGTGGCAATCAGAAGCTTCTTGAATTGGTGATCAGTTTTGTTATTTTCATCATCTTTATTTGTTGAAGTTGATACTGTGAGAAGAAATTAGATGCTAGTCACTCTAAGGTGTCAAAGGATTAAACATGAATATTAGCAATTACGTAAACTGCAATAAACGAATTAATATGCAGGCAGCAGACAAAACCTGTCACAACAAAAAGTTAACAAATTACAATTAATAACATCTTTTAATTAAAATTTGTTTTACCCTTAAAATACCTTGTTACCTAAAACTAAAAATTAAAATACATTCATGAATTGGTTGTTTCCTTGCCTTGAATGGAGGATATGGATACTGATGTTAGGGTGTAAAGGACTCTGATAGACTCTAATTAATGGTTGTTAAGTTGTAATCTTGCTTATGATCTTGTGTACGTCATTTCCTCGGTACTATTATCCTCAAGAAGCATAATTTTGTCGCAGGGTATGTGTTTTACATTGTTTCAGGCAGCACTTTATAAGCCTCATTCTGACTCTGAGTTTAGATTACAGCAGTTGAAGTATTGTTTTTGTAAAGAGCATTTAAAGCACTGATTACTATAGAAGAGATAGCCACAGTAGAACAAGACTTGTTTGACAAAGAAAACTCGATAAAATAGGTGTTGAAAATTTGATCTGACTCCGTTCACATTTGATACTAAATGAAGAAACTATACTTGAAATGTTGATAAATGTTCAAGTACTTGTCTGTTGTGCCTTATTATTTTCGGTCAGCGGTATAATGATATACCTCCGCTGTGCATTCTTCTACAAGGGCAGGTTTTGAATGATTTCGCTTTTGCGTTGATAGTCAGCATGTTTGCAAAATGCTTGGTTATTGGCGGTTCTTTTTTCTTCATCCTGCTGATCCTTACCTTTGCGTATTTTTTGTTCTCTTTTCAAGATTCCGCTCTCATTTTGTGCAATTCATACTACTCTTATAGCAGAACGACTTTGTCGTTCGCAAGCATCCCGGAAGTGGTTTGCGATCTCTCTACGCCAGGGTATGCAAATGATTCCAGATATGATCATCGTCCTTCGCTGGAATCGTTTCTGCAAGAATCGAAAACTGATGCGGACCAAGATCTTCGTTTGAGTGGCTTAGCAGTGGTTTCCAGACTGGCCAATGCAAGTCAACCTCTAGTTGATGTAAGCAAGTCAAGAATACATGTCGACAAAATCGCTCTCGTCACGCTTAAGGACGATACAGCGTTTTCGTGCGGAGATCTAGCACTTAATGCACAGAACGCTGGATACTCTGTGGTCCTATTTTGGCCCTATTTTGGCGGATATTGTGAATCAGATGAAGATGTAACAAAACCTCATACGCAAGAAGAGATATTGATTCCCTTTGTGTTTGTTAAGTATTGTGACAATCAAACCACTTCAGACTCTTACAACACTGTTAATTACGATCATTTACTCAAGGCTGTACACAAAACAGCTGTAGATTTTATTATGACTGATGAACATGGGTCTGATGAGCTCGGCAACATGGCAGAATACCTAAAGATACTTTATTACTGGTTCCTTTTGGGTCCAATTATCACGCTCGAATGGCTCAGACGAAAGAAGAAACTCTGTTGTGTGACGATATCACAACAAGTCCATGAGGAATCTGCAGCTGGCAACGAGGAAAATGCGCGGTTAGTCCCAAGAGTTGACGAGGATCAGGAACAGAACGTACAAGACATCACCGGTGGGGAAATTGAAAGTGAATCTCAACTTCTAATCACTACAGCAGACACAGACACTGATATAACAATATTTGACCTCATGGGCAGAATTATAGTTCGTGTGACAAGGATATTTGGAATCCGTTACCTCGCAGTTTGTCTTGGTTACGTGCTTCTCACTCTGGCAGCGCTCCCTGTAGGTATATCAAGTGGGGGATGGTCTTTTTTCCGATTTGATGAACAAGAAAGAAATAAGCAAAAAAACTTTTGGGACTCTATTCTACCCGACAACAGCACTGAATTCTCTCCAGGAATAGCACCTCGGGTTTCATGTATTCTCATTTTATGGTGGTCAGCTGTTCAAATCTTTTGTTTTTTCATTTATAGTAAGTTTAATTGTGCGAGTACTTGGACCGTTTTGACAAACGTTTCAAAGTTGATTCGAAGTGACTGGTTTTCGTCCAACATGTATTTGTTCGTGTTATGCGCAATTGTGCCATACTGTTCTGTCGGACCTATTTCTCCGCAGTTTCTCTATTTTACGGTTTACAATATGATGTGCACAGTTTCCAATTTTCTTTTTATTATCATTCTCAACAAACACAAAGTTGTCACAAGGTATGTGTTCTACATCAGTGTGTGTATGATCTGTGCTTATGTTGAAAGTGACATAGTAGCTGTGTTTTACTTCATTCTTAATTCTCAAGGCTCCCTGAATAACTTAAAACTCACTGCCCTTCGCACTGTAGCACTGGGCCTCACTTTGACTCTGAGTTTTAGTTCTTCAATGCACATAATCCGCAAACTTATGAAGCCTCAGGAGTCTGTGTTTGAGGGACTGTCAGAGAGGTGAGTTCAATGTTTTTGGATTGGGTAAGCAGCATCTCTTGTCATCTTCCTTCGATATCAGTTTTTACACAATCTGCGTGACAAATATTAATGGGAGCTAAACGAAAAATTTCATAATAATCTGGAATTTAATTGGGTTTTCCATAAAATAGGACTTTGCCGTGTTTTAGAGTGGTGTTATGCCGCTTTTCTACAGCCTTGTGAAATAAAGAACTTTGACATTAGGGGGTTTAACAAAAACACAGCGGCTATAGAGCGGGAACGTCACTAAACAAAAGGTTTCATGAGTAGAACAGTCGTGCACGTGCGTTATAAATCTTTGTAAATTTCTTCGCGTCCTTTGCAAAACAACAATGTGAAGTGACCAAACTTTGCCTTGAATTGTTAGCTTTTGACTATAAATCTTAATAATCTAGCAATGTGTCGTTTATTCTAAGTAATGATTAAATTACAATTTGTGGAAAATCATTAAGAGCTTAATAATTAGGCTATTTAAGTCAAACAATCTATCTTTGTTTATTCTGGTGTAACCAAAAGAAGTGTCGTTTAGTTTTCCTGAAATAAAAGACAAATGCCTCAGAAAATCTTTAAAGCTGGTTTGGAACCTTGTTCTTCATCAATAATCAAACATTTTGACTCAGTAATTTTTTTCCTAGCAATTAACAAGTTGATTAAGTTGAAAACATTATAGGAATATTGTGTGTTGGAATCGTTAGAAATGGTGCTTGGGACGAAACTGTGTCTTATAATAATTTTATTTTTCTTTATTTACATCATGATATATGTGTATGTTTTATATGATATCAATGCTCACCATCTAAATAACTGGTATAGGTAATTTTGGTAGGATATACATGGGATATGTAAACTTAGTATCATATCGTAGCTCTGTTTGGATTTTTCATCATTTCACCGAACTGTGAATTTGAAAACCGTGAAATCACACATTTAAAAAGTTCGGCTTTCAGTCAAAAAATGTATCTTTGTTTATTTTGACGTAATTAAAAGTTGTGTGCTCCACTGTCTGTTCTGATACAATTTATTGCACTCCCACCCTTACTGAGTTTTGTTTATGTCTTCAGCTGACGTGAAACATTAAGTGCCAAAACATCTACCATTTCAAGTTTCCAGTCTTTGATATAATGGCTCTTGATTAGTTTCCATGAACTATTTTCTGCTGATATAATACCCCAAGAGTAGGCATAATTGCGGCTTTGAGGACATGTGACTAACAAAAGAATAAAACCTTGTTATTAAAACTGACGTGCGAGTTAAAAAAGTTGAAAACATGTTTCACGTGAGAGAAGGTGGAAAAAGGAATTCGAAAGAGAGAATTCGGGAGAACTACTTCAAAATGCTATCTGATAACAAACATCTCTTGAACACAATGTTGATATTTTCCAGTTGAACAGTCGTGTAGATAATAATAAAACATCGGACATGTCGGATAATCCAAATTTCAAGAGGCTGCTTTTATAATATACCGAACACAGAATCGTAGCCTTTAAATACTCAAGAGCCTTTGAATACTCAAAAGATACTTTACAGTTTTAATTTCAGCTTCAATACTAAGATTCTACTTAGAGTCAGATAATTGAAATAAAGTGTCACGCATTCTGTTAGCAGAGAAAAGCAAGGAGCGGCTTTGTACACATGTCGAGAAATAGTTTTGTGACAGTTGGCTGCTTCTGCTCTCCATGTTAACCACCTCTCAATATAGTTCGGTTGGATAACCAGCGATTTCTAGCTTTAATAAAGGAAGTATGTTTCTAGAGAAACTGTAGTGCTGGCGGTGGAAAGGTATAACAGGGTAATTTAGTATTATCTAATTTAGTTTTATGAAGAGCTAACGCTCGAAACGTCCGCTTTTAAACTCTTTACAGTGGCCGATTTACGTTATCAGCTCAGTTGATTTTACTAAATTACCCTGATTTCCATTTGTATTTACCTCGAGATGGTCCTCGAGACAGCATATGTCTGTTGCAGAGATGACTCTGGGGAACAAAGTGCTTATTCCATTCGTGTTCGTATTGCTTAGGAGCTAGTGTTTCTTCGATGGTCAGATCGAAAAAGGCTTGCCTTTGTCGATGATTCATATATCTTGAGAAGGCAGACCTAACTTAGCTTTCCGAAAGATTGAATGAACTGAGCAAAATGGGTTTGTACCTCAAGAGCCTGGACTTTACTATATCTCTGACAAAACTCTCGTCATTTTGAACGATGATATATTTCCAATGATAGGTACGGCTCTGGGAGCTTCGAAACTGATAAGATTCCACGGTCCGATTATGGATACAATTATTTGAAAGGTAGGATTGAATTTAACTTTCGAATCATGTATGAAGCATTTCTATCTGACTGTTTTGTTCGGTCAAACAACCTAAATTGAGACAGTGTAGTTTATAAATATTTACGGTAAGAGGTCATTTATTTAAGAACTTAAAACACCGCAAGAATGTATAATTGATACTATCTTAAAGTTTCTTGTGTCTAAGAGTAGCAATTCGTCCTAAAGAATAGGGGATTTAAATATTTTGACTAGCCGCAGAGTACGGAACTTTAATTCTGAACGATTCTTGGCGACTACTTGAATAAAGATCTGTATAACTGACGTCACGTAGTCACGAACACCTTAGGTTGTCTGTGTAACGAAGGCTATTTTCAGTTGTGATTTGCGTGGCGTTCAATACCCTTTTGTTATGTTTTGTGTGACATACCTTCGAATTGTCGGCATTATGTTTCATTCGGCCACGAGACGCGGGTTAGTTGCAAGCATAACCAGATCGAAGGATTGTCGAAATACAAGAATAATTTAACGGGGAAAGAGGTATGTCATCTTATTTATTCTTGTATTTATAAACCGAAACGCGTCTAATCAAAGGTAGTTTTGTTTCGCTTTAGATATTTGTGTTGTTTTGATTTATCTATATGCACGCCCCGCGTGTTCGAGTTCAGGACATTTCGATTAGCGTTTATTGTATGGTAGTGGGCTATTTTAATTTATTGTATTTCAGTTTTCACGAGCTTTCCAGTGATTAATAAACCAGTTGAGTCTGATTGACGCTTGGAGGTTCTGTCAATATAAGACATTTCCCCGACGCGGCGTTGTTCAAGTTTGATTTGATTTATGTTAGCGTCCGCCCCATTACAGTCTGTCTGCGGCTCATTTCGCTTTTTTTTCAGACTTCACAAAGTAGTTGTTAATAAAAGGAAACACTCTAGTCTAGTCCGATGCATATTTTAAACGCTGACGTTCTCAGTTCGATCCTCTTTTCCTGATGCAAAACAAAACTAGCTAACATTATTAATACGGAAAAACTGTTCGTATGCTTACAATTCGCTTACATTAGCAGATTTTTTTTTTAAACAGGCAAAATACAGATTGACCAACTTCCCGAGGAAATGTACCCTATGGCGCTGGCAAAAAACTCCTTGGATGATGCTGTTGATCTTGCGAGGACAACAAGAGCCATGAATATGAGCACAACATTAACACATTGGTAAGAGACTGGTGATTATTACCGCCGGATGGGAAGGGGGTTAAATTTACCAGATCCCCCCTTAAGGCTTTTTTGATATTCCTCACTGGCTGTTGAATGGTAGTTTATTTTCTTTATTCCCCTTTATACTGTGTTTGCGACCACTGATTCCCTTTCCGTTCCCTTTGCAAACATTGTGATTCCCCCAAGTAATACTCCTCTCCTTCCCTAGGCGATAGAGGGGTGGGGTAGGGGGGGAAGTGGGGGTTACTGGTCCCTTAGGAGTACACTTACTATTCCCAAAAACCTGGGGATGTCAGCCGGGATAACAAGCACTCTATTACAGTACTGCAGAGTAGGAAAAAAATCCTGGTCATGGAAGCTTACTTGTGGGAGTCTCATGTGTTGTCAGTTGTTTCTTTATTGGCACCATTTAAGGTTTAAGACTAAAGTTACAATGTTATGTATCTGACACAGACAAACCAGGTGCACCCTTTGAGATCCATTTAACCTCTCTCAACTATAGAGCTGAATTCTGAAAAATAAAACAGGAAATCAATTCCAATTGCTGTATTTTGTATCCTACAAAAGATTCATTCCTGATCTTCTGTACCATCCATAATACAACTGATGGGTAACAATCAGAATCCTCTCTTTCCCCTGTTTCTGCACAAGTTATGAGAATACATAGTACTGTGATAACTCGTTTTGATAACCTAAATCATCTTCCTTTCACAAAGTAGTTGTTAATAAAAGGAAACACTGTAGTCTAATAACTTGAACACCCCTTAGTTACAAAGAAACTTTTCTAGTTTCACATTCAGATAATTAAGACTTGATATTCCAACTTAACCTTGAACAGTGAAGAGGTGATATTTTGATATTGGAAGTGAAAGGACTAATGCAATCCAAGTGTTCACATAATATAATTTTACCTCTTACCTTCTTTGTATGCAAATCTTAAAACTGTCTATATTAATCCATGAAACTTATTTACATTGACTTAAAACTATAAAAAGTACTACACTGTATTTATATTTGGTTTTTACTTTTAAACTAAAGTGCTTTGCGTAGCTAAGAGTAAACTTAACCTTTTAACTCCTAAGATCTGATTGTTAATTCTCCCCTCTGGCTGCTACACATTTCCTTGTAAACTGATTACCAGAATTTGGTGTTAGATCAAGATAACAACTTAATGTATTGATATTATGGGGAGAAGTTACATGTGAAGCACTTCTGGGAGTTAAATGGTTAATGTAGAAATATCACAATGTGAGGGAATTTAATTTATAAGTATTTTAAAAGGAATATATGATATCCCTCTCCAAGATTTTAATACAAATAATATTAGAGAATAAATAGGGAAAAACTGAAATTATTGATTTTTGAATTTTTCATTTGTTAGAAATACTTGTGTAAAATACTCCTTTTTCACTTGTATTGTTTTCCTGTTTCCTAATGATGCACTTGCCATCTTTTAACCTTTTACATCTGTACATTGGTGTTCATATTTTCCACACTGTTCTCTGTATATTTCCTATGGTAATGACAAGGAGAATTTATGT